GTGTGTGTGTGTGTGGAGGTGGGGGGGGGGTAATTAAACGGCGGAGAGGAGTGGTGTCTATGTGGGAATCATTAAAAATGGCTGGACTGAGGTCATCTCTAAATGGTGATTTGAGGTCAGTTTTAAATTTGCCTGCTAATGAGACATTAGTTTAATCTTCCAAATGGACAAGTGCCACCCCCTCCTGGCTGTGCTGTGGGAACTCTCTCCAACTCGTGCAGCTCATCATCTACAATCTGATTTTTTTCCCCCACTGTGTTAATGAGACTCAATGCAATGCTCCCACTGTACGTCCTCATCAGGCACTCTGACTCTGAATGATATTCAAAAGCCACAGAAGGAGGTTGACTTCAGCTTCTAGTTCAATGTCACAATCAGTACGTTAATACAAATAAAGATTAATTAGGTTTGCAAAATGTGGAAACTTGTGTTTGGTTAATTAATACGTTGTTGTAACACTGCAACTTGGAAATAAATCTTAAATTGTTGGAAAGCCTGTTTATTTCCCTTTAAATGGTGCCATGTTTGTTAGAAAAATGCATTTGTGGGTTGAGCGGCAGAGTTGAGTATGAGGGTTGTGCTGATATAACCTTGCCAAATCTATCCTGCCAGTGCCAAACAGCTTACTCTGCTATTGACTCTTGTTTTGAGCTTTTGGTACCCCCAGATGCTGAGAATCAGGACAACCAGGTGCCTGACTGGTCTGGTGCCTGATTGTCAGCCTGTGCACAGTCCCATATRTCCATGGTCTGGGACCAGACTCTTTGCTCCAAGATAATAATGCTAACCCCCACAGAGTGGGCTTCATCAGACTACTTTTGGGAATAAGGATGCCTGCGTTCCTTACTCAACCCTATTGAACACCTGTGGGATCAATTTGAGAAGCTCATATTTAATGTATGTTGTGCGGTGATCTGAAGCAAAAAAGTGCAAATTGCTCAAACCTGCTTGGCTTGATGGCTGTGTGCTAACATACAGTATCAGTACTATTGAGTTTGTGAATCTAATGCTAAAATGTAGCTGATGGCCGGGGGCAAATCAAGTGCACAGCTGAAAGCTAAAAGCAAAATGCACCACATTCTTAGAGAATCAAACCTTCAACATCTTTCATTAAATGCTGATCATGCTAAAAACAAATAAAAAAAAAACTATAAGGGGTATTTTGTTTTGATGTGTTATTTTAGCTTGACTGATTCATCATCTCCATGGTCAAACTTGAACAAAATTCACAATGAATCCAGAAAAAGCATGGGGAAATTGAAAAAAAAGGTTTGTCAGTGTTGGAGGATGAATTCACCAAAATATCAAAATCTACCAAAACCACACAAAACGTGAAGCAGTCCCAGGGTACGTTACCATGATTGTCGTCACAACAACAACAGTCCGATTATCGATMGCTGAGCTGTCGTTGGTCTGAGGGCTTTCATTTAGGACAAGCTTGTCGTTGTCATTCCAGTAGCCAATCTGAAGCAATGAACACAACAGGAGAAAGGACGAGTTAGTGAAAGAAGATGTTGAAAAACCCTTAAAGCAGGAATCATACAAAATTGGAAATTGGGGCCAACACACAAAAAGCAAGAAGAGCATCAAAACAAAACAGAAAACAAAAAAAAAAACAAAAAAAGAATGACGATGAAAAATCATTCAGTTAAAAGAATCAGTAAAAATAAAATAGCTCACTCCTGCAAAATTTCCCACTGGAACTATTAACAATATTGAGATTGAGCTAAGAAGCTTCGAWAAACAAACACTGCTGTCGAAGGAACAATTAGTTGCTAGAACATGATGTTATTTCTTCATTATAGGTGTTATGTAAGCCATTGTTCCACAAAGATCTTTAATAAGTTCTTCGAATCTGACTCCCTCTGCTTTTCACTRTAATGAAAACGTATTGGGTTAAAACATGTTTAATGAAATGGGGATGTTTCTGTAATTCTGCTTGTTGTGAAGATACAAATACACATTTCAAATGTCTAATAAAGCACATGTAGTTAGATGATTTGACTATAACAGTTTCACAGTTTTATAAAAAAGGGGGATGGGAATTGGATAAATGAAAGACATAAATTCGATCTGTGGACAGGAAATCACCAATTAATATCATATCTATTGAGAATCTTAGGAGTTTAATTTTCTACAGAATTGGACGGCTGTTTACAAACTTTTTACACTGCTGTCAGTTTTGCAGTTTACAGTTATTCTGGTAGAAATACACATATATTACTACATCAGTAGAAGTACTCCGGGTTGCACAGAAAGGTAGCAGCTGCTAACAGTTTTTGATGGCAAATAGTCACAGAACTCTTCGTAAAATAGCAAAAAAATTAAAAATTAAAAATAAAAAACAACTAAATAATGATGTAAAATATTTAAGATTGAACATGTTTTGAAAGTTTATAAATGAATGTTTCTCTGTGTGTCTTTCCTGTCCCACCAAACCCAGTCAGTCGAGGCAGATGGCTGCCTGTCCTGAGCCTGGTTCTGGTTCTGCTGGAGGTTTCTTCCTGTTAAAAGGGAGTTTTTCCTTTCTGTTGCCAATGTGCTCTCAGGTTTAGATTGATTGTTTTTTGTACAGTGCCCTGAGATGACAATCGTTGTGACTTGGCGCTATATAATTATACTGAATTGAATTGAATTGAATTGATGGCTTTATTTTAATTATTTTGCCCTGACAAAAAACCCACTTTGGTTTTAGCCCTGCATAAACTAGTCATTAGCTCATCAATACTGTCACAATAAAACTTTATTTCTCCAAACTGAAGTTGTTAAAAAAAACAATCTACAACAAGTAAGATCTGCATATTTCTCATAAACATCCCACAGAAACCCATTTCAAAATATCTGAACTATTTTTCATTACATACACTTAATTTTAAAGGAAATATTTCTTATAAATAACATTATAAATTCAGAATTTATACACACAGAAAAATCTTTTACATTTGAAGAAAACACTTCATCAGTGCAGTCTACCAGCAGGAGATTTAAGCATGAAGCAAATAACAACTCATTTTGCTTTTGTAGTTTTAGAGGGGGCCTACCTTGCGTGGTCCATTGCTCTTCAGCTCAAACACGTCCATCGTATAATTGATTCTTCGCCCAAAGTGATCAAACTGGATATTTCCTGTAAGACCCTGAATGCGAACCTACATGTAAGCATTGGAGAAACTTTAGTAATACTAATAAAATAAAAAAAAATAAAAATTTTATCCAAGTGAAAATTTGCAGCAAAATAAAAGAAGAATGTCTGGACTTTGCTGATGTTTATTCCATGTTGCATGCGTGCAATGATCCCATGAGGAGCATTCGTTTTGCATTTTAAATGCAGTGTGGAAAGGATGCATTAAAATAATTATAAAAAAAATAATAAGTGAGTGTTTACTAAGTGTGTATGAATAGAAGCAGAAGAGGAGAACATGACGAGAAGTTGTTTTGGAGCACTTTTATTTAAAAAAAATGTTTACAAAACAGAAAAATGAACTGTAAAATGACTCCGGCGTTCAGGAAGGTTGCTTATTTGAAAAATGACCTTCCTAGTATTCATGATACAGTGTCTTTTAGCAGGATACTGAATCCTAAATAATATCAACAGTATGTTTTAGCTAAAAAAGATGGCTGTGAGTGTACACTCAGCTGTTAGTATGAAGGCAAAAATCTTTGCAGTTAAATTTATGAAAACAAAGAAATGATGCACCAACTTTGACTGACCATTACTGAAACAAACTGTGACTGTTATTATAGCTGAATTATTATATATTATTATAGCTAAATTATTATATATGATTATAGCTGAATTATTATATATTATAATAGCTGAATTTGGGAAGAAATAACCAATATGGTGACCATGGCTGTGCTTTAGCTCCTAATAGAACATATTCTGTTTACTTTATTAGCTTTAATAACATGAGTGCTGCATCCAATTTTCTCAGTTGATGAACCTGTGTTGTGTTTCTGGCTCATCTAACATAAAAAGCACAGCGGGTTTTAACGCTAATGACTGGACAACGTAGACTGAACCAGAGCAGCCAAAGTCCAAACAAAAACCCACCCCCACTGAGCTCCAGCTTCATTAGCACAGCTAGGAAGAGCAGCTGCAGCTGTGCTCTGAGCCAGCAGCTGGAWAGTTCTGCAGATCACCCTTTTAAAAAGAGTAATGAGCAATAAATGTATCACATGAAGTGTCACATCATCGTTCCCCTTTCTGCTATATCTGCTGAGTGTCTCCCTAAAGTGCCAGCATATTTTAACCAATCAAGAACCGATGAAGGGCAGTTTCCAGAGTGAAAAGGCACCTCAATAAATGCACCAAAAAGTATGAAGAAAAGCACAAAATAATGTTATAATAATAAATGTGATGATAATAATAATAATAATAATAATAATAATAATAATAATAATAATAATAATAATAATAATAATAATAATAATAATAATAATAATAATAATGTTGCAAAAGTGTTGTGATTCAATTCAAACAGGTGGGGTAATTTTTTCCCTATAGAAAAAGAAAAAAGTGCTGCTTTTTTGTGTGGGCTTGCGTATCTTTCTGAAGATTTGTGTAAACTTCCACTAACAGTATATATAACCACACAACAGCTAACTTGCGCTAACCTGTTTGAGGGCTCGCTCCATGTCTATTCCTTGGTTCCAGGGTGCTGCTGGATTGGCAAGACAGTCCCCCGCATTGCCACGACGACTGATGTCAATTTTCTGTCGACGCAGGGTGCGGAAGGCTTCAGCCATCACCAGGACACCATCGTATGTTAGAGATGAGGTGTACTGCAGCACAAACAAAAACGGGAAAACGACGGGGAAACAAGCAGGTAATTTAAGATTCAGGTGACCCAGTTTAAAAAAAAAACAATTTAAATACAACAAATGTACAAGAAGCAAAGGAGGGAATCATTTAACACAGAGCCGGCTCTTGGCATAGGCGAACTAGTCGGTCGTCTAGAGCGCCATCTGCTGGAGAAGGTGCCAAACTGCAGAAGAAAAAAAAAGTAATTTTTTGCAATCCCTGGTTGTAACTGCTCAGCACCCCTTTCATTTAGCTTTGTCTTAAAAAAAAACTAGCCTCACTGAAGACGTGAAAGCACCCGCTGTGAAGCAGGAGGAAAGGAGAGTGGAAAAAGTTCAAAACTTATTTCTAGCGGCAGAACAGGTTGGAAGATGGCTATTTAATGTTATTTATTGTTTTTTAAATCATCCTACAGGCTTTGACATGTTAGATAAATTTGAAAATGAGATTTTGAAAAAAATCCGTAAGGCTTGAAAAAAAAATCTGTGAGATTGCCCTATACGTTCATATACCTGCAAAATGACGTAAAATCCTTATAACTCATGGACAATCTGTACAAGTTGACGTGTATGTTGTTATTTATTTACTTTCTGGGAAAGCAAATAAATCTGTTTACCATTTGATTTGATTTGATTTATTT